GTATGACAGTTTCAAAGACTGAATTAAAAATACTTGGTTCACAGAAGCTTTTAGCATAAATCATGCTTCACTATATAGAACAGGTAGCAGTAGGAATATGCCTTGATTGGTGAAGAAAATTAATCAAATCGTCAGTAAATTCTATCATGTCCTATGTTGACACTGATGACCCTGAACAAATTCCTAAGAGCAATGGACACATACACGCAGCTCACCACATGAGATACCGCTCGTACTAATAAGCAACTAGATTTAGTTGCCAAAAAAGTTTTAATGTTATGGTTTGAAGCATGTGAATAATTAAGTTATCTGGTTACCCTTTCCCTCTGTAGTCACAACATTTGAATGGAAGGTACATGCCTCGTGTGTGTGCAAGAAATTCAGTGTTACTTATTATAAACCAATAAACAACAATGACGTCTCTGAGGCACTATGTAGCTCTTAACAAAGGAATGAAAGTCAGGGTAGGGGAAAGAAAAGCAAAATTGCTTCTCTCACAATTAAGAAAAAACATACACCTAAAAATTCCACAAGAAGAAAACATTTCCCTTCTCTCCATGCTGCCCTTCAATCTTTAGTATCAACATGTTAAGTAACTTCCGACTGAATACTACATATCTGGGTTTAGCTGAGGTGTAAACAAAACAGGAAGACAAAATTTTCAATTACTCTAGGATTTTAATACGTGTTTGTTCACAGCTCTCATTACTGAAGATTCCTTGTTTTCCTTGGGATTTGCTAGGGGAAATGCCAAAGCTAAATAAGTACTACAAATAAACCCGAAAGAGTAAGTGGCACATGTAGTTCCCCAGGGCCATTAGTTTACGTAGCCTTGGAAACAGCATGTCTGTAATACCTATAACGTACCTTTTTCACACGTTGGAGGAGAAAGCAAAGAAATCAGCTAGAGAATACTTTACCAAAGACAAACCAACCAAACCAATTTCTTGAGTGCACTTAGAATGTGGAGTCCTTAAAAACTCATTCCATCGAATATTCACTCTGGCAGAGAACATAAGTTACTAAGAATGATAAAACTTTGAGGGAAATAAAGATGTGAAATCTATAAAATCATTATAAAGCTGCCCATGAAATCTATCACTTGCTCTTAACCCCACAATTCGTTTATTGTAAACTTATACGCACATAATACAAGGGGTGAAGGCCTTTCTACTGATCTTCCACTTCAACTAGTGAAACGAGGCTGCAGTAGAGCGGCCTGTTGGAGGGGGTTCATAACTAGAGGTGAATAGACTGACAAAACAGGTCCTTAAAGGAAGCGAGCCACTTGACACCTGTCTAATTCATAGTTAAGAAAAAGAAGGAAAGAAGCTCTCCCTTGGCAACTCAGAAATTAAAGTCACTACAAGACCCAGGGCCACTGCTCAGACACAACAGGCAAAGACGCTCCTCACTGCTTCTTGAGGGTGATGTATCAGAACCGCAGATGTGGGATCTAAGAGCTGGAAGGGGCATGAGACCCCACCCAGACCACCTCGTGCTCTAGCGGGGGTGGAAACTTCCAGCCAGGGCTCTCTGACAGCCCCAGGCAGCCTCCCCATCCCTGAAACATCCGAGAGCGTCCAGCTAGGTCACTGGTCATTAACCAACAGAGATCCAGCATTACTGTCTCTTGAAACAGTAAACCCCTCAGATTCCCAGAATCCATTGGAAAAAGTAAAATATTGAGGAGGGAAAAGTAAAATGTTACCAGTCAGGGTTCAATCAGAGAAGAACCACCAGGAATGATGTAGAATAAGGAGGCTGTTCAAGAGACTCACCTTAAGCAATTAATTAAAGGAGCTGATAAGAGTCCCAGTTGTGCTGTTTCTTCTTCACCAGGAGTTGCTGGGCAGGTGGTCCAGAAAACAGCTGGATGTTCAGTGGGGGATGGATGGGCAGTGGGGGGGATGGATGGGCAGTGGGGG